GAAAGAAAGAAAGAAAGAAAGAAAGAAAGAAAGAAAGAAAGAAAGAAGGAAGGAAGGAAGGAAAGAAAGAGAGAGACAGAGAAAGAAAGAGAAAGAGAGAGAGGACTTATTAGAAGAGGTCCCAGAGTTCCCTGGGTCCTAGCTGGCCATGGATAATAAAGGCCAAAATATTCATTGTTCTTTTTGACCCTCTTATGTTCATTGGTGTAGACCTCCAAGCTTTGATAAACACCCCAAAAGATGGCTTTACTGGCTTTGTAGTTTTTTGGTTTGGTTTTTTGTTTTTTTTTTTTTTTGAGACAGGGTTTCTCTGTGTAGTCTTGGCTTTTCTGGAACTCACTCTGTATACCAGGCTGGTCTGGTATTTTGAGATCCCCCTGCCTCTGCCTCCTGAATGCTGGAATTAAAGGCATGAGCCACCACACCTAGCTTTTTTTTTTTTAAGCTTTGTAATTTTACATTGTGTAACAGTTAAATTTTAGAACACCCCCCCCCCCACAAAAAAAGACAATTTTAAGTAAGTTTCGATTTTGCTATGACTCAGTTTCCCCAAGTAGTTATCTTGACTGGATTAGACATACATCATCTTAAGTCCTATCCACAGATCTTGTACAACTCACTCAGACCTTTTGCAGCTTAATGTTACAGCTTTGATTTTCTTTTCTTTTTTTGTCCTCATCTTTCATTTTCAGGACAAGAATCTTATTTTAGTATATAAAGTTAATCCTTGTCTGAAATATTGTTTTCTTTTCTACCAAGAATATAATCTCATTTATATCTTTCTCAACACCTCTCTCATCTACTTTCTCTCTCTCTTTTTTAAGTGATTTATGATTTTTTTATTATTCATACAGTATTCTGCATGCATATGTGCATACATACCAGAAGAAGACACCAGATCTCACTATAGATGGTTGTGAGCCACCATGTGGTTTCTGGGAATTGGACTTGGGTCCTTTGGAAGAACAGCCAGTCTTCTTAATCTCTGAGCCATCTCTCCAGCCTTCTCTTACTCTTTTTAAGACAGGGTTTCTCTGTGTTGCCTTGGCTGTCCTGGACTTGCTTTGTAGACTACTTACTATCTCTTATTTCATTTCTATAAACAAGAGTTCAGTCCAAATTATATATATCGCAGTGTTCTAAATGAAAATTAACTGTCCATATGCATTGTTAAACTGTTAAGTTTTCCCCTGTTAAGTCTCAAGTCAACCTCTTCATTTCTTGGATTTTTCTCTTTGCTTTTGCTTGCGTCTTACAGAGTTTAAAAACAGAGAACGTTTTATACACCAGCGAGAGCCTAAAGAATTATCAGTGACCTTTGTTGTGAGATATTTGAAAGCCTGCTTGGACCTGGGTTTAAGCCATTAGAAAGTCTTTATTAGCCAGTTGGTGATTATACTGGGTATTCTGGATCCCAGTGTAGCCCTGAGCCTTTCTCAGAGTCAACTTTTAAGTACATTCTGAGTTGACATACTTCAGTTAGCAAGAACAGTTAGCCAGAAGCAAAACTACAGAAACCAAAAAGTAAGGTTAGTACATTTAGATACTTTCCCAGAACTATGGACTTTGGTGGATTAGCCCTTTCTTTTCATTTTGGAGGTAGTGTTGTCTGCGTGCTTAGTTTTACAGCCTGAATGATGCTCCCATCATGGAGTCAGTTGTGCTAAGGTCTGGGGTCCTGTTACATTCCCCACTGATCTTAGTGAATGAGTCAGTTCGTGTACTCATTCTGTTCTAAAGAGTGTAGTTGATCCTAAGGTAAAAGCTTAATTTTACTGAACTGATACACAGTTGTGCATATAGATTAAGATATAGGGGCATGTCCAGGTCCAGTCAGTGCTGATAGCAGAGGTATTACCTGATTTCTATCTTTGTCTTTTTTTTTTTTTTTTTTTTGAGCCTCCTATGGCAAGATGTTTTAAAATTCCTCTTGATCAGTTAGTATAGAAACAATATATTTTATTTTTTTAAAGTCATAAAGTCTTTTATCTCATGAGAAGTAAATCTAAATCTTTTTAATTTTTATGATCATCTCTGCATGGGAATCTAACTTGTTTTTATACCAATAGGTCCTAATCAACCTGTCTATTTAGTTTGGAAAACATTGGAAGAGGCACATTTGGTCAAACCATTAGTACATGCCCACCAAGTCGTCTCAGGGTAATGGTAATATAGCTGTTATCCAGATTAATTAACCCACAAGACAGAATAGCAGGCATCAGGATAAGGGAGAGTGCCTAGGTTAAAGGTTTTGGATATTGGAAGCATTCCAGTCCTTTGTACGTCCTCTGATATTGATTTGGGCTGCCCACAGTAAGTTTTGTCAGTCAATGGGCTGACAGTCTGGTTAGTCCCTATCCCTGTGTAGTATGGGGACTGGTTGTCTAAGCTGGCTTTTAGCTAGGATTGATTAATTCTATCCCCAGGGTCCCTTTCTGTGGCACAGAGTTTGATTTCCCCAGGTTTTTTTTGTTTTTTTTTTTTTCTGTTTCTCAAAGGCCAGAATATATATATATATATATATATATATATATATATATATATATATATATTTATTTTTTTTTTTTTTTTTTTTTTTTTTAAGAAAAATTTCAGGAATTTTTGCAATAGAAACTCTACTGTTTCTGACAATCAAGGGGCCCAGCCACAGGGCATGCATGGAATTGTAAACTCTGTATTCCTATCCCAAAGATAAATTCCCATATCTTCCCTTTCTCTGATACAACTAGCTATTTAAAGTGGGCATTGGGACTAGAGAGATGGCTCTGCAATTAAGAGCATTGACTGTTCTTCCAGAGGACACAGGTTCAATTCCCAGCACCTACATGGCAGTTCACAATTGTTTGTAACTCTAACTCCCAAGATCTGACACCTGCACACAGACATACATGCAGGAAAAAGCACCAATACACATGAAAGAAAAAGAAAGAGAGAAAGAAGAAAGTTGGGCATCAGTGAGCAAAGGTCAAAATGAATATGAGTTGCTGGTATGTAGTCACATGAGCTAGTATCTTTAGTATCTAGTATCTTTCCTGTATCTGTCTTTCTTAGTTCCCAGGTCCAGACCTAAGGGCTATGGGGTATGTACCATAACACTGTATTTATACGAAATACAAGTTGTAGGAAGGGGTAGAGGGGCATGGAGTGGAAAGGCCTGGGGACTATGGACTTCGATGAGTCCATAGTCTGCAGATACTGTATATGGCAGCAGCCGTGGTGGTTTTCATTTTTTCCACCTGGGTGTGGTGGATCCATGCTGTAATGCCAGTTACCTTCACAGCATTGCAGTAGTAAGAATTACCATGTAGGGTCATTTCCAGGTTGATTCCAACACCCCTTTTGTTACATGCTTGACACCGATGGTTTCACTGGACTCGAACAAGGGGAAACTGGTGGTGGGCTCAGAGGTCAGCTGTGTCTCTCAGATAATCCAGTGAATAGCTTTTATGGAGGACTGTGGGGATCTGTCGTAACTTAAGAGATGAACGGTTAGAGAGTTCTTCCAACTGCCGGTGTCTGAGCTGGGAAGCCATGGGGGTGGTCTTCCAAACATAATCTCATAGAGGTAAATCCCTTTCTATATGGAGTTGAGCAGGACAAGGCAAAGTAGAGGATCTATCCATCCTTTGCTGAGCTCTAATGAAAGGTTTTTGGTTAGTTTTAATGTCTTGTTTATTCTTTTTACCTAGCCAGAACTCTGAGGT